CGGACAACGAGGAGACTGCATCAGACAACGAGATGCTGGACGATTGTCCACAGGCGGTTGATACCGCACAGGACCATCGTCTTGCGGACCAAGAAAGAAAGATGGGAGCAAGTACAATGGTGAGCCAGAACCTACTTGAGTGCAGCTCAATTAGCGTCTCTATTCTGATTGCGAACGAAACTGCTGTACATCTAGAGGGACTCTCATTTACAGATCTCGCTTCATGGACACCTTAGACAGCTCGGACATCACTTTTCGAACCAGTAGCTCGGTTGGAATCTGACGCTAGTACTTCACTACCAATCACAGTCAGGGACGCTGGAATAAATCTTGTGGCAACCTTTGCCAACCTATCAAGCTCCGGCCATTTCACGCTCAGCCGCAATCTTTATGATAACGCGTGCAATCAATGATTGGTACCACCGGCTAGTAGCCTGGGTATTCTCAAGTCCCCTTTGACCATTCGCTTGTGCTTGTTTGTGTGACAAGTCTCTTAGATTTTCTTCTTTCCTCAGACGTAGTAACGCACTGACCTCGTCACCCTAAGTGCCCCTTCGAAACACGGGTAGAGCCCTTCATTCAAAAACCACCATGTCAAGCCCTTCGAAAGGACCTTTTGCAGCAATTCACTTCTGCAAGGGAGTGAAAGGCCTTGTGACCTTCATGAGAGCTTTGGCTACATCTATTGGAATTTCAATCGACCTTGTCCAAATAGTCCACTCTATCAAGGAGGCGTGTCGGATCCCAAGAGCATCATTTGCAAGCATGTGACGCTCCAATTTTCAGGCTTCTGCCACTCAACCCTTTGGAGCAAACATTTGAGCTCTTCGGGTTCTGCTCTTTCACTGTTGGCCTCAACCTGCTGTTGAAATACTTCGACGGACAGTATTGCCGTCCATCTAGAGAAAGTTTCATTCATGAACTCGTCCTCATGGACGGCTTGGACGGCTGGGACAGCACTTTGAGAGTTGCTCACGTTTAATGTGGCTTCGCCGCTATTAATCTTGGAGGGATGATGATTTTAAGCATTGGGGTTGGACGTGACCAGGTTGAAGACAATGTAAGCTGATTTGTGATGACGTCTGCGATTGATGCAGGAGATCGCGGCTCGCGACTTGGTCGCAAAAGGCTATGTCGTGTTCACGGCAAGCACCCAGTGGGACGCCAAGGCAAAGAGAGGGAAGGGAGGGAAGAAAATGATACCCCCACGGGATTGGCCGGCCTCTACCTTAGCCGATTGCCTGACCGACCGCTTCTTCCAGCCCTACAACAATACGCTGCTAATCAACACGGCAGCGTCCGGAGTCGTCGTGCTCGACTTTGACGTTGGCGACGGGGGCATGGAGCAGCTTGCTCTCTGGGAGACCGAGCACGGCGCGTTTGATGCTCCTCGAGTGCGCACAGGCAGTGGGGGAGTGCACATCTACTTCTCTCACCGAAGAAGCCTTGCGTCAGGGTTGGGCGTGGAGACGCCGACCCACTTTGCAAAGCTGGAGCTGAGGGTCCGAGATCCGACATCTGGAAAGGAGGTTCTAAAGAAGGTGGGAGTCGACATGAGGGGCGTCAGCTCGAACGGCATGATCGCTTGCCCGCCGTCATCATATGAGCGACTCGGGGAGACAGCACGGTACACGGTCGACGGCGGAGGCGAGCTTCCCCTGGCAGAAGATCTGCCTCCCCTTCCGAAATGGTTGATCGAGATTCTGAACGAGCGAGCGTCCAGGGGTTCCGGGGAGCGCTCGGAAGGGCCATCAGAGGTTCTCAGCGGGGCCGGGCCCAGCGCAAGGGCCAGTGCGGGGTTTGAGGCGCCGGACTTGACGGATCGCGGGCTGCAGCAGGAAGTGGTCGAGGTGATGCGAGGCATGCTCAGCAGTTTCGGCGACAACTCCTCCGTCTTCTCGAAGGCAGAGCCGAGCACGGTTGCTGGTCTAGGGGCGGTGATGTACCACTGGCGGAATGATGGGGGAGGGCGGATGTGTCCGTATGCGGAGGAGGGGGCGTGCAGCCGCACAGCAGCAACAATTTTGGGCTCTTGAGGAGAGGCACGGAGATCACCTACGTGTGCCACAGCCAGCGGTGCAAGACAAGCGACGGCTGCCGGAACAAGAAGCTCGGGCGTCTCATGTTCCCGGTGGCCGCATCTTTCTCGGATGCTTCTCCGCTGAACAGCGGCCGGGATCGCTTGTACGAGAATCGAGAACTACTTCCTCTCCCGTTTCTGCGGCAAAACCTCTCGGTTTCGGCAGGTAGGCCGCGCTTCGAACAATATCTGTCCTAAGGCGCGTTCAATTTACCAAATTTACCAGTTGTATCCCCGGCATATAACTGGTGAGTTCACAAAACTTGATTTCGTCCGATCGGCTGACGAAGTCAAACTCGAGGGACCATGCCAGCGCGCCACTCCAGTGATCTGTGCACGAGGTTTAGAAAGCCTCATTAAAAAACTGCTTGCAAGATGCTCTCGCGATCTGGTTGTAGAACCTCTCGGTTCAGCAGGTAAGCCGCGCGTTGAGCAGCATCGGTCCTATGGCGCTATCTTTTAACAGAATCTAGAGGTTCGTCCAATTTGGACGAAGCTCCAACTCACAAAACTTGATGTCGTCCATCTGGTGGACGAAATCATATTTAAACATCAACTTCCAAAACCCAGAGGTTGAACTCGCCTATCTGGTAGGCAAGTTTCAATCTGAGGACCAAGGCCAGCACGCCCCAAGTCACCGTTGCAAAATGTTTGCTTACATCATCAACCTCTTGCAAGCCTGTGCTCGTGCGATTGTGCAGACCTGAATCAAGATCCGTTTCTTGTGTTACTTCTGAGCACATTTCGAAAGATTCGAGATCCAAAGATTATATTTGAAGTAGAAGTATCGAGAAGTGGTTGTGCACGAAGTGCTTCTTACGACAAGTGACTAGCCGCTTGTGGGCAAAGACGCAAGGTTGCCACTCGACAGTCGATTGCTTGCCAATGACAAGTCGCTGACGTTTCTTCCAGGTGATGAAGGAGGGGCGCTGATCATCGACCGCTTGCAGACGTACACGGGCCGCAAGCTCGTCTTCTGTAACGAAAAATGGTTCTACTGGAACGGGTCGATTTGGATGGTGGACGTGGCTGGGCGAGTTGCGAGCCAGATCTGCCGCGGAGAGCTCAACAAGATAAGCAAGGCGTACAAGAAGGAGAAAGCGTCCGATGCCGAAGGCGAGGGTTCGCAAGTGGAGGAGGAGAAAAAGCCCAGGAAGGAGAAGCTCGTGAACTTCAACTTCAACGCCAAGATGAGCCAGATCATGACGACTCTCAAAGGGTATTGCCTGGAGCCTGCGTTCGAGGAGGCGCTCAATACCAACAGAGATGCGCTTCCTCTTCAGAACGGCGTCATCCTGCTGGAGAGCGGGATCCTGGTGGCACACCATCCGAAGGTGGGCATGTGAGGTTGCGGATGACTGACAGCTGAGCTTCTTTATTAGCAAAGCACTCTTTCGGTCGTTGACAGCAGTTTCATTGTGCACTGTTGGCCAGCTTTGCAATGTTTTAGATATTTATGTCCCAGCCAGAACTTTGTCGGCGTGCAGATACTGCTCTCTCGAGTACTTGCGCGCTCTCTGCCAAGGAGCAGAGAGACAATCTTAAGCAAGGCAGCGGCATCTGCCACGGAGTACGATTCGTCCCAACATCCTTGATCTGAGTTGAATCTACCTCATCAAATGGTGACTTAGTCTAGGGTGAAACTCTCAACGAGGTTAGGTGGAAGCTGTCATGTTGAAGTAGCTTGCACAGAGCACTAATATCTGCATACCTCTGGGGTACCGGTAAACATTGCATGCTGAAGGCTTGAACGGCAGATCCTGCTTTTGTTGTGTGATAGTCATCACCACATCGTCGATGAGCCCCTTCGGTTTATCTGGTCGATGCGACTGCTTGGCAGAAATGCAGAACCTTGCATCGCAATTGTGTGTTAGTGAACTACTCTCCATCTACTGTCTTGCAGTATCTGTGGTCTTTCAAGCTTTCCGTGCGGTGGCCATCGACGGGACTTGCCACGCCGCTGGGCAGGACGGGCGAGTTCCTCCGTCAGATCACGCACACTCCGGAGGCGCTTGCGTATCTTCAGCGCATTCTTGGATACGGTATCACTGGGCACATTTCCAATCAGGTCATGCTGACGATGATTGGAGAGGGCGGAGCGGGAAAAAGCCTTCTCTTGGCTCTGCTGAGGCGTCTGATCGGTCCGTTCTACAAGGACGTCTCGAAGGACATGCTCGTGACGTCCAAGGGACAACGGCCGCTGGGCAAAGGTGCTGCAAATCCAGCAGAAGCAGGTGAGCACATGCAGACACGAATCATGCTTGAAGTTGACATCAATGAGACGCTCCGAACATGATAGATGCCTTTGATGATAAAGAGTTCGTATGCGCTTGAAGCATATCACCCAAGGTGACGGTTAATCAACTTGTGCCGTGTTGTCAACAGCGGTTAGAGGTGAAGCTGGTTTCTGTACAAAGCTGATTTTGGCAACGAGGTCTCTATCAACTACTAACGGCCGTGCCTCTAGATGAATGAGATTTGTTTGCGTCATAACCAAACGCTGTTCACCCAGGTTTACGACACATTCGGATAGCGGCGTGCACGGAGTCGGAAGAGACGGATGAGTTAGCGGAGTCCAACGTGAAGCGATTGACCGGAGAGGCGACTATCACGAGTAGAGGACTCTACACGGATTACGTCACGTTTGCTACGACTCAGCTGGTAAGTCCCTCGTGCCCGATACTGGCGCAATCATGTCTTCTTTGCGAGAGACTACTATAGCCATGCTCAAATTGCCTTAGCTGTCTGTGACGGGTTGTATTGTCGGACGAAAACGCCTTCCAGGGCTCTTTGCATTCTCACGGCCGAAACTAGTTTCTTTCAGATGTTTGCAATATGTTGTCCAAGCTGTCTGTGCCGTCCACGAAGAGGGTTTTGTAGATGGAACCTCGTCTTGATGGACAGCGCACCTGTCCAAGTTCTCGAGGCAAGTTTTTGCAGCCGAAGTCAGTATCTGAAAGCTGACCAACCATGCTGTCCAAGCCGTCTGTGCCGTCCACGAAGAGGGTTTTGTAGATGGATACTTACCTTGATGGACTGCACAGCTGTCTAGGGCGTCGATGCAATTCTTCACGACCAAAACTCGAATTCCCAAAGGTCTCCAACGATGCTGTCCAAGCCGTCTGAGCCGTCCATGAAGGGATTCTTATAGGTAGTACTTCCTCTTGAGGGACAGCACACCTGTCCAGGTTCTCAATGCGAGTCTTCGCGGCCAAAGCTAGATTCTAAAAGCTTACGAACCATGCTGTCCAAGCCGTCTGTGCCGTCCACGAAGAGGGTTTTGTATATAAAAATTCGTCTTCATGGACAGCACAGTTGTCTATGGCGACGATGCAAGTCTTCACGGCCAGATCTCGAATTTTCAAAGCTCTCCAACGATGCTGTCCAAGCCGTCTGTGCCGTCCATGAAGAGCGTTTTGTAGATAGAAGCCTTCTTGAAGGACAGCATTGCCGTCGACATTCACCACCTTCTCAACGACTGCCAGATCATTGAGTGTCACGAACGTGTGTGCTCAAAAACGATCTTAATCCATTTTGCAGCATATTCTCTGCTCAAACTACCCTCCCCGAGTGAAGATCTGGACGATTGCGCTCAAGCGACGCCTTCTGACGCTGGTCTTCCCGATGCGATTCTTCTATCCGGACAAAGAACTGGAAGCCGTTGCATGGAATCCGAGACCTTGAACTGGAAGACGTCTTGAAGGCCGAGCCCGAGAAGCTTCTGGTGTTCCTGGTGCAAGGCGCCAAGGACTGGTACGCGAGTGGGAAGAGACTCCTCGACATGCCGGAGAGCAGCAAGACGTACATGCAGTCATGGGAGCAAGATAATGATCCATTCGCAGCTTTCCTTCAGGAGGAAGGCAGGTTGAACGTCAAGGCTTTTGAGTCCACGCGTAGTCTCATGGACGCGTATAACAACCCAGATAGGATGGTCGACGGCGCGAGATTTGGCGACACTGGCGCACCTCAGATCCTCAATGACCGTAAGTTTGCGGACGCTTGCAAGAAGAAGGGACTGGAGGGCCCGGATAAGCCCTCCAAGCTGAGGTTTGCTAATCCAGGGCACATAGTCCGGGGTTATCGGGGATTCCAGCTCAACACGCCAACAAAAGAGAGTATCTTAGAGAAATAGCAAGGACTTTGAAAGATGTCATATTTTTGACATTAACAGCCTCTTCGTCGAGAACAAAATCATTCAAAGCTTCTATTATGATCTCGTTGTGTTGCACGAAAAAATGATGATATGCGCAGAAGGAAATACGCCACGCATTTATGTCGGATGAAGCGTGCACGTATCATCTCTATCTCTGGCTACAAAGAGCTCTGGCTACATCTATCGGAATTCTGATCTATGACACTTGTTCAATCCGTTGTCGACGTGCCGACTCAATCGAGCACTTTGATAGCTCGTCATGACTTTCAATCCGACACCTGACTGACACATTACGGCATCTTCAAGGTCAGAACGCTGCATGAAGCGTTTATCTTCGAACCCCTTGGAGCCAACAAAAAATCTTCTTTTGTGATTGTCGTTCCTCATCCATCACTTTCAACAACGCCTGTGTAGCATTGTCGAGTTCCTTGTCGAGGTCGATGGATTTGAGATTATTGAAAGCGCAAAAGTTTGGAAGGCGAATACTGTGTCAATCTATCAAGCTTCATATATCGGGTCAAACACCCGAGGCTGATTCCAAGCAGCCGGTAGGGTCCGCGGCTGCCTCCAACCTGTTGACCCACCCCCCCCCCGCGAAGCCCCATCAATCCTTTGAGCATTGCTGCTTTTTTTGATACAAAAGCCCTGGTCACCTTGAATGATGCAAGGTTGTCGTGCATGATGCGTGAAAATGCGTCGCAAGGCGGCGTCTAGGGAACGAGGCTGAGCAGGCTGATTCCGAGAGCCAGCGTGGCAACGTCCGAAAAGAGACCCGTGGCAGGTTCGTCCGCACGAACCGCGGCGATAATTGAGTCGCTCACTTGTAATGATCTATCACACGGCACTACATTGCGAAAAGTCGATATTATCTGATGGGTTGATCAGGTTGATAGGTGCGATTGTCAATTAGGAAGAAAGCCTCCCTACCCGTCCACACAGCGGCAATGAGCAAGGATGCGTCGGCCATTTTGGCCCGGAGCAAGGCCGAGCTCTTGGCCGTCAAAGACCGTCTGAAGGAATGGGATCGAAGCGGGCTGAGCCAAGAACCCAAACGCCCTGCACGGTCGAACGAGATGGTGAGTGATGCGCGGTTCCAGCCGAAGGAGTCCTCAGAGTACTTTTAAGGACGAAAGGGTCCAGATCCGACAACTTTCGACGAGATGGGGACGGCGCTCTCTACGCCAGTCCTATCTCATCAATCCGTTCGAGCTCCTAAACTGGAGCAGTAAACTGACCTTGATCGACGATTGGCAATTGCTGGAGAAGGTGTTCGTCAAGGCATTCGACGATCAGGGTCGGAAGTACCCAATCGACTTCGACCGGGCCTTCGTCTGACTCAAGTATGGGAGGAGAGGAAATGCCCTGCGGACCAGGAGGACTTCTTCACGAATGACGCAGATTGCACCGTCAACGCGTCAACCTGGCATGGTTCTCAGGAATAATGCGTCGGGTGCATTTGCTAGATACAACCCCGATTGATACTTCCTCGCGACCACGGCGTTCAAGCACTTCGCCATGCAAGCCCGGACGGAGGCTGGCGGCGTGGTCGTTCGAAACTTCTTCGTGGCAATCCGCGACGCATACGTCGAGCTAACCGCAATTTCTACCAGTGGCCGACCTAGCTTGACGAGGGAGGCGGCCCTTTTGATGGCGTACCACGAGAAGAACTGCATCTACGTGGGCACAATCCAGGCAAGAGGGCAGGGAGGAAGGCGCATGTGCAAGTTTGGAAGGACCACCGACCTTGCCAGCCGGTGTGCTGCGAATCAAGCATCGTTCAAAAATCCATTTGAGCTGCTCCATTTCGCCGAAGTGGAGAATTGCGAGCGTGCCGAGCGCGTATTGAAGACTTGCCGGAGATCCGTCCGAAACTCCATCGGACCACCATCCACGGGATCGAAAAGAAGGATGAGTTTGTGACTCTTGGTAGCCTCGCTGCCAGGAAGATGGAAGCCAGTCTGAAAAGGGCGGCACAGAGGTCGGTGTCTGCAGTCTTGCGAATGACCGTTCGTGACAAGAGAAGGTGGGAGAAGATGGTGTAGCCTTGCATCCATCCGGAGTAGGGAAAGTTCGAACTTGATCACGAGTGGAGGATGCGTGTGTACGACGATATCATACTCAATTCCCGGGGCCGAGGAAATAGAAGCGGATTTGTTTTTAAACCCGTGCACATAGGTAATTGTCCAAATATTTGTTACGACATTAGTGATATGTAGCGTGAGCATTCGATTTTCAGTTCAACATTTACAACATGAAAAAAAGTCGCAGAAATATCGTACAGGGGCGATATGATTTGATTTCCTTGCGGATTGAAATTTCACTTGACCGTGTGCAAACATGAAAGTTAGAGTTCGAGGTTAACTAGATTGCTATGGAGCATCAAGAATTCCGTTTTGGAATTGTATACGATTTGTCACATTTATTTCTCGAAATACCGCACTTTATTTCTTACCTTTCCTACTCCTTTTCATGCATAATATCTGTTGTCACAATCGAATGAAGTGTTTTACATCTCTTGCATATATCACAAATGATCTCACATTTATTTGCAAATGAATAATATCACATCCAACATCTGTTACTTCCCATTATATGTGCATTTGTGGATGGAAACTACTATATGTTTACTTACATTACAACTCGTCAATTCTTTCAAAAATTACCCTCGTATTATACAAGGTTAATTGACCTACCTAACGTGAGTTTGCGGATTGATATAACAAAACTAAAATGAAACAAACGACCTTGCAAAATATGGTATACGCAACTATCTAGAGCGAAAAGGCAATACAAAAAGGCAGTTGTCCCGCAAATGACAATATCTTCACCTAACCATCGACTTTTCCATCAGCTTAAACCGGCACACATGCTGGAGCCGCACCTAGTCCAACACCACATTGAAAGCTTGGCGCACACTTGAACAATAGCGAAGTGCTTGAAGCCTGGCAGTTGCACACACCTCTGCATGAAGGGACAGTAAAGATAAGCAAAAAAACACTAATTTCTTTATGACATTTCCAATCACAATTTTCTTGGTAAAGAGATATCGTATGCTTGCAGTATGATTTCCGCTTCATTGAAGTTCCTACATCTCAAATGAATGAGCATGCAAAAAATGTACAAGAAACAAATGTGACATAATGAAAGCACAATTTTGCAAACGGAAGAGAACTAACATCTCAGAAGATTGGGTGAAGCAAAACTACTTACTGTGCGGACTTGCTGCAATAGAAGTTCTCTCCATTGCAGTTTGGTGCAGTTTCACCCTTACTGGGTGGTGGGGCGTTGTTACAGTCAGGACTGTTCACATCTGGGGGGGTTTGAGTGACAATGTTGACCAATTCTCCTCCAGCAATTTGAATGTCGTCAATCTCGTTGTCGACAAGACCATTTGTTTCATTCACCTGCGATATGCAGAAATCAGTTGTGTCGTTTGTGTCGTCGGTGTCGTTATGTCAACGTATTCAGCGACAAGTTGAGCATGTACAACAACCAAGAACCTGATACTGAAACTTCCTCGACAATAAATACATCTTTGACGAAGCCGATTCGGAAAAGTCTAAACCAGGTCTCACCGATGGTCTCACCAATGGGTTCATTCCCCTGCAATATGAGGACTTCAATGAAAAAAAGTATTTCAACAGATCAAATGCCGAGCCTGTACAACTAAAAGAATCAAACTGAGACTTCATCTAAAATTCTTGACAATAATTACAGCATAGCAGTCAGTCAAGATAAACAGAAAAGGAAGAACTTTATTCAAATCATCCTGATCGTAGGTACAATGCCATGTATATTTCCAGACTGTTAACACACCTTCAACTAAGTTACCAAATGTTGACAACCTGCCTATTGCATCAACTGAAAAGGGAAGTAGGCCGACTCAGAGTTTTGTTATGATTGCTCAGGGTTGGCCGTATTGCTCAGGGGCAAACAGTCAGAGAATTAAAGACTTTGAAGGATTATATGCAAGGTCTGGCATAGGTGTTGGCAGCACCTCAAGAATTATCAGCATCTACCCTATAATATTCATAATAAGTCTACCAGGGATCATTTTAATACCGTCGACCATGTAACATTCATAGCGCTCGTAAAGCAAATAACTTACAAGGTTCGATGTGCCATTGCGGAGGTCGCCGTAACCCGCAAGTAAGGCGTTGAGTGTAGTGTTCACTTGCAGCAGCATTCGGCGGGGTGCTGAACTGTGGGTGACCATCCATGCGTAGACATTTTCAGAAGACTGCAGCAGAGAAAAGTACACCACCACATCTCACCAATCTCTAGCAGCCAGCGTGAGAGTTGATGTCTGCACAGGTTCTTACTAAACGTAATAACCTTCAGGCAAGCACACGTGCTGAAAACAGCAAGAGAAAAGGAATTATTCATTCAGGATCCATAAACGATCAAAGACTTCTTTCCTGTGCGACATGCAGCATTCGAGTCCTGACTTCTTACTAGCATTGGAGGAAGGTGACTGAGAAATTGATGTGACCCGAGCTGATGAGAACAGAAGAGTGATTGAAGCAGCTATGAAATGTAAGAGCCATGATCCATCGCAAAGCATCTAGCTCCCTCAGAAAGGCAGGCTCATAAAAAGATTGAAACATGCCTTTGATAAAGGAACTACAGCTGGCTAGACAACACCAAAACTCATTAAACTACAGAGTTGTTTGTCTTGATAGTCCTCAGAAACTTGCAAGGCATTAATAATATGCAGTAACACAGCATGGTCCTATCGCGCTTCGAACATCTCCTCACTGGCTGCTTCTCCAAAAGAGCAGCAACAAGTGAGTCACAACATATCTGCGGTGGTCTGCAAAACGCAGGCATTTATCCGGAACAGCCTGCATCATGAGATTCCAAGCATGATTCTCACCGGTTTCTCCAGTGGCACAGCAGCACTGCTAGCAGCCCCCAGGCAGGCTGCAAGGAGGCAGAAGAGAAATATAGGACGGGCGGACAGCACCATCTTGTTCGTGCCAGGTACGAATCTAGACAGCGATGGCAGCTAGCTCAGAGCGGGAGATGGAAAATTGGACAAGATATGTCGATGGTTTACGAGGGTGATGCTGAAATATTGTACCAAGTAATGGAAGTTGTCTGCACTAGATGCTCAGCAAAATGCTGCTGATACCGTATCACTACGCAATAAATATTCAGTAGTCTGTTAGGATTCTCATGTAGATAGTAAAGGCCATACAGGACCCTACATCATACAACCTTTTCATCCTAGATCAGTACTCGGAAGATGTGTTTCTACGAAGACAGCGAGTCCCGACTCCCGAGATGTAGAGATCTCGCTTGACCCAGTGACCGTTTACTAAAGAGTGTACTTTGTGTGCGTGTCAATGATTGGGGCTTACTTGTTTGTGGCTGAGACGTATACCACTATCGGGCGTGGCGGTGTGTCACGCGCCCCGAACCGCCATTTGTGCTGATTGATTGCGGCGATACTTAATGCTCGCCCTCGCTTATATGGGGCGCGATGAGACAGCGTTGATTAGCGGTTGCCTTCGGCGTCCAGCCCCTCGTAAAAAGGCGCCCGATCGCATCCCCGATCCCCAAAAGGGGGTCGCCTGAAGACAATTTTGTTCCAGGGGGGCCATCGGGCCCCCGATGCCAGGCTTGTGAATGTTAATGGAGTTCATTTGCAAAGCTGCAAGAGCACGAAAATCGCCGGTTGGAGATACTCGGAGCATATTTCTAGCTCGGTTATCTCTCTTGCAGTATCACTGCAACCGTCCTACGTTGTCCAGGTTCGGAGGACACGATTATTAGCAACTAGGCACGACGTTTTTACGATAAACAGCAAGCCAAATGAACTTCGGCCAAAAAATTAAACCACTCGTAAGGCGCCACGTGGGCCCCCCCTGCCGGTGTCCCTGCAAACCACTTGAAGTTCGCCATAAAAACCAGCCGCGCGATGGGCGCCACCTGTTCCCCCTGGCCCGACTCCGCAGCAAACCATTTGAAGTTTCATCATAAAAACCAGCCGCGCAATGGCCGCCGCGTGTCCCCCCGGGCCCGGGACCCCAGCAAACCATTTGAAGTTTCAACCAGCCGCGCAATGGCCGCCGCATGTCCCCCCGGGCCCGGGACCCCAGCAAACCATTTGAAGTTTCACCATAAAAACCAGCCGCGCAATGGGCGCCACGTGTCCCCCCAGGCCCGGGACTTCAGCAAACCATTTGAAGTTCAGCATAGAAACCAGCCGCGCGAAAGGCGCCACCTGTTCCCCCTGGCCCGACTCCTGCAGCAAACCAAATGAAATCACACAAAAATCAGCCGCGCGATGGCCGCCACCTGTTCCCCCCTCCCCGCGACCCCGCCGACTCCCGGCGTCCCGCTGTCGAATGACGGCGAAGCATGGAATTCTATTCAGGTGTTATTCCAGAGCGTACGATCGTCAGGAGTCGCCCTCGCTACAGGACAATTTTGTGCGGCCGGCTCGCTCCCATGCCTACCTACCAACTAACCATCAGCTCAACGGCATAAAATCTGCCAGCCACAAACCGCCACGTGCCCCCCCCTTCCCTCGATGCTCGCTGCCGCGCCGCGCTAGGGTCGCCCCCGATAGCCACAGTGTCAGTGCAGGTCAGTACCGCTAACCGTCGTCCGCTAACCAGCCTCTAACCATGGTCGCAGTCATGAGGTTTTGCCGTCCGACAAAAAACTTTGCCGTCCGATCGCGAGCAGCGCGCGCAGGTTCAGCAGTCATTGACTGAGACACTGACTCAGTGAGGCCGGGAAGTCACTGCCGCAGTGCCACGGTGACAGCTGTCATTCAGGCCACGCTGGCTTGGCCGTCCGATCGTGTCACTCGGAAAAAGAAAGGACACGTGACCGTCGATAAATCCTCAGGAAGTTGCAGAATATGAAACTTGGCGGGCCGGCTGGCGGCTCGGCATGCAGTCTAGCTCAGCAGGCTCTGCAGGTTCTGGAAGCTTTCGTCTGAGTCAGCACTCAGTCGGAAGCTAAGAAGCTTCTTACAGCATATTATTACCAGACAGAAGAACGAATAAACGCATCCACGTAAGCAGAAGAGAGCAAGGAGAGGTGCCTGGCTAGCCTGTACTTGAAACACTGGTCTGACTGGTGGGTGGCCATTTCCATTCATCCCAAAGTTGAGCGATTTCCTGCAGACCTCTTTTCATTACTTTCTATCATTTCAGTCCCTCTCAGCTGAAAGCTAGCACTTTCAAGCCCATGGGCATGTTGCTTCCTTAATAATTGGCCCTACCGTAGTGGTGCCAGCAGCATTTGCAGCCAGGCTGCAAACGCTGACAGTGTGCTCACAAGCGTCCAGCAGCTGAAGCTGCCAGTGGCTGCGAGCGACAACTCTTCTCCATCAGCCTGGGTTGGCATCAAACCCCAGGAGGCTGCCGTGGCCCTCGGCCCTTGAAAAGGTGAGTACGTTCTTATTCTTTAAGGACACAGGGCGGGCTGCTCGGTTGGCAGCCCAAACTGCACATGCTTCTGATGAGACTGGCATAGTGCTCAAGAGCTGGCTGCTAAGCGGTCTAAGTGGGATCCAAGCTATATAAGCTCGATTATGTTGGCAACCCTAGCCAGCTCGCGCTGGTTTGAGCCAGCTAGCAGGCGCAAGTCTGAGCTCGGAATGCCCCTTGGAAGTGGTGTGCTTCACTGATCTTCAAGCCCGGGCTGGCAGGCAGCATGCATGCACCAATAGTGCATCTCCTCCTTTTTCAGCTCATTCTTCGTACTCCAGAGCTGATAAAGTGAAGCGTTCCAGGAGGGTCTGTCCAACTTCGTCCATGCAGATTGTTTGCCCAGGCTGTCCAAGGTGTTCGAGCTCTGGCCAAGCTTTCTTTCATCGATTGGAATGCTGACGTTATCTACACCTCAACTTAGACCTGCATATATGGACCCGGGCCAAACAGTCCCAGTATATTATAAGGGGTTCTGATCAAAGTGCTGACATCATGCAATCGGAACTATGACTATTTAAGTGGAGTATCTGAGTGGGGTCTGTCCAAGCGGTCTCTTGAGTGGTTGTCGTTGACCATACAAATCGTCTGGCACGCCCCTGGCCACACGCTGTTCAGGGTGTCCAAGCTCGGGGCAGAAAGTTCGATCATCCGAATTGCTGACGTCAACAGCCTCCCAACAGCCCGAGTACAGTGGCGTAAAGAGCCTTATCTACTGCTGACTTCAGTGTTGCTATGATTGATTGTGTGGTGAACCCAAGTCTCGAGTTCTTTCTTGAGGATTGAGCATGGCAGGGAGCCTCACCGTAATGCTCCCTATTCTCAATGTATGCAGCGATGGTCTTGACGACTCGGTGGTAGCGTCAGAAGCCACCAAGGGGCTCCATTAGTTGGAGTGACCAGGGCGCATTCGGCTCCAGCCTCAGCCTCCGCATTTGCTGCAAGTGCGCCTGATCATGAGTGATAGGACGAACATGGAGAGCAGAGAAGGAGACTCCGAACATATGGAGGACTCACAAATGGAGGTGAGTCTAGGTGAATGCAGCCTTGCATTTTGGCATTCCTAGACTCGTGACTGGCCCAATTTCCCGCTAAAGTTCACCGTTCGCTTCATTTCTCATCTGATAGATCGTGCATATGGGATCCTAAGCATACGCAATCAGTTATAGCTTTAGAATTCATTGCAAAGTTCTGCCGTGAGTGTTGGTGTGTCATGCAACCTCATCTTGCCAGGTTGTTGTCTTAGAGCTGCTGTCGGCTGATCTGCAAGCTGTTTCGAGATGGTGGTATGAGTGGTTACCCAGATGTTCAGAGCTGTCGCTAATGGCAGCTGTTGAAAGTTGCTTACGGACTGTGTGCACCCGTGGCACGAGTTTCTGGGCGACAGATCACGTGCAGGCTGATCAACCCTGCTGTTTGGGGTACTATTTGCACGTGCAGTGGACATATTAGGCAGGCTTCTTATTTGCAGCGGGACAGGTTGTGTCAAGGTGCCTCTCGCTATCGTTTGGCATCGAAATCTTGACTGGAAGCCGGGTTTCTCAGGTCTGCAGACAAGCCTGATCAAGCCTGACTAGATCAGATCTGCCAAGCCTTATCTGATCAGATGTACGTGGCGTGCAACTCTGAGAATGATGGATACTTCTTGCCGCACAGCGGACAGAAAGGTTTTGTACTCTGTTCAGCCAAACAGGGGCATGGCATACTGCAATTCTTAAGACTTGCACGTTGAAGGATTCTTCTTGGAAGTGGCCTGTGAACCTCAGGTTCAAACACATCCGTATCACGAACGCGTTGTGAATTCCAATGGACTTATCCCAGACGACGCTTCTGCTAATGCGGATTCGTTCGAAGTCGAGTCAGAATTTTCGAAAAAGCTTGATTGACGGTACGATCAAAGTGCTCTGCTGATACGAAAGCATATTTTTTTATCTTTCGAAGGAACGTTTATGCAATCCAAGACGTTTATCTTGATTGAATGTGTCTTCTCTCTTTCTACCAGGAGAATGACAACACGAGCATCGAATCAGACTCCGATGGAGAGGATATTGAGGACGCGGAGTTCAACCGCGAGGAAGAATCTTCCGACGAGGAGACCTCGCAGGATCGCCAGTTTCTGGACGACTCATCGCAACCTCCCATCGCCCCGGTCTCAGAGTGCGCTCGGATGGACGCGGAGCTTGGGCAGTCGGACACGGAGTCGCCAGATCGATTCCAGGGGGGGCGCAAGCGCACCAAACGCATTGACGACAGCGATGACAGCGCAGAGCCCCCGCCCCTCAGGACAAGCCGGCTTAGAGTCACGTTGCCGTCCGACTCGTCATCGTCGTCTGACGAGGACGTGCAAGAGGCAGGTGAAGCCACTGAGTCGAGCCCTGAGGTCGGAGACCGGTCTGCCACGTCGAGCGAGTGGGGCGACCGTCCTGATGACGACGATCCTACGTGGGATTGGGACGATGAGGGGGATTCGGAGGAGCTGCGCGAGTTCTTTGGGGTCTGCCGCATCGATCTCGGGTTCGAGCTTAATCGCACGGAGTCGCAACAGGTACGCTCGCTCTCTGCAATTGTAGCTTCTGCTTGCTATATCTGAAAGTTGTTCAAGCTGTACCTCTTAGCGCTCCCTTCAAGAGTGTAGATCCGGATTCATCAACCGACCGCAAACAAGTTGTCCAAGTGTCCAAGGTTTTGCCAAACTCTTTTGGGGGAACATTCTGCTGACGTCATTGCAACAGTTTATTGACGACACGTCAACAAAGTCAGGACAATGAGACAATCTAGATATCTGCCTCAGTGTCTTGATGCTGCCGTCACTTTCTTCAGAGGACAACCTAGGTTCGATACACTGTCCACATGTCCAAGGTTTTACCAAACTTTCTGGGGGGATTTCTTTGCCGACGTCAGCGCTCCAGTTCCTCAACGGCTCTTCTGCAGAATCCGGCCCACCGGACGGTCCATATAATTGCTTACGCTTTGGCGTTCCGAGTGCTTTCGACAGTTCCTTTCAGAGACGAGGCTCGATACAACTGTGTCCATGTGTCCAAGGTTTTACCAAACTTTCCAGGGAGATTTCTTTTGCTGACGTCACCTTTTCTTCCGGCAGTGGGGCATACTTGAGTGCCTTCGATCAAGAGCAGGCTGATCTAAAATCCCTCTCTTCTCCCTGCAGAGACCGAGCCCATCTATCGAAGATTCTGTACCGGCAATCGATCCCGTCCTGGCCGCCGCTTCTGCACCGGCAATCGACCCTGTCCTGGCCGCCGCTCATCATTTCCACAGCCTCGGCGTTGTAACAGTCACCCACGACCTTTTCGAGAAGAAGTTTCCAAACGGTCAAGTCCGGAAGCAGCCGTGCAACTGGGGCTCCGAGTCCAAGCCTTGGAAGGAGGCAAACCTCGGCAACTGCCTCCAGGAGTTCGCCAAGTCGGGGCGCAACTCCATTGCCATCATCACGGAGCAATCGGACATCTATGCCCTCGACGTTGACGACAAGGACGGGGGCTTTGAAGCACTCGAGCAAATGCTCGAGGAGCATGGAGGGTTTCTGGAGGACACGCCCCGAGTACTGACGGGGAATGGGGGGGTGCACATCCTCTTCTCTCTGTCTCTGTCCGAGAAGGCCGGCCTGTGCAACTCCGGCAACAAGGCAAAGATTCGGTACAAGGGCAAAGCGGTAGGCATCGACGTCCGTGGAAGGGGAGGAATGCTGTACACCGCACCCAGCAGCTACACAGGCCTCGACGGCACGCTGCGCTGCTACAAGTGGGACCACGAGATTCTGCCCGACCGCTCCAACCTCCGAGCCGCGCCGGACTGGCTCATCTGCATCCTAAACGGCAGTGATGGACCGCCAAGCGGGAGTGCGGCGGTGCGTCAGGACGAGAACGGGGCCCGGTACGCTCAATTTCCCTTGTGCCCCCACAAGATGACGATTCTGGTTACATGACATCCAAGAAACTTGATTGCCTGATTGAATATTGTGGGTCCCAATCATCAAGCGATCTGAGCAAAGCTAAGATGCGTCGAGAAGTACTGGCGCTTTCCTTGATGTATATAGAAACCAACTGAATTATTTATAGCGCTCTTCGAAGATGGTGCAGACGCTAAGGTAGCCGGGTCTGGGTTTCAGGGTCACTGGTTCGAAACCTTCAACGACTCTGGTCTTTTCCCTTTTTGGGCGACCACTACATCCACAGTATATGGAAAAGTTTGCGAATAGAAGTTCAGTGCAGTGATCTTGGCGCAGAGGCTAGAGTAGTGGACCTGTGTAATAAAGGTCACTGGCTCGAGCCTTCGAGGAAATCAATCCTCGATGTGTCCAGCCTTTTTGCTCAGCGAATGTGCAGGCCACCTTCTGACTTCGGGAACCAAGAATATCGAAGCAGCCCGTTTTGGATGGCAAGACCAACAAGTTTCTACCTAGAACAGAATCAGATTCGACAGCTTGGTCGAGCTTTCGAGTCAGTCGAACTTGGATCAGAATTCTCCTGCCCCTTCTTAACGCACAGTAAGAGCAATGAAGCTTGCTATTGTTGAGATCAGGCTCCACTGCAACGGAAATACCCAGATTCGGCATGACAAATCGGCGTCAGCATGCAATCGTCTGCTTTTCCAGTCACCTATCCATGATGATGCCAGCAAGTTTGTTTATGTACGTAACGAGCTTCTAGACTGATACTAATTGCTTCATCCCTCGGCCTGCTCTATACATTCTAGGCCTAATTCAGCCGGTCTAAGGCATGCTTCTGCTCACGCAATCTGTTCTTGTAAACACGATTACAGCCGTATGTCTTCTGGCTCTGAGATCGAAATATTATCTTGTTCTCCTGTGCAGGGGCTCGCAGGCTGTACCTTTCGGACCTCCTCGTCCTGTCGAAGGCCCTCAGCCAACTCCCCCAGCAGCGGTCTTGGAGCGCGTCAAGGCCTGTGTGGCTGCCACGGGCGACACCGCCTCCAGCTTCGATCGCCTCAAGATGGGCGACAGCGGGCCAATGTACGTCTTCCGGGTGGCTGGCCCGCGTTGCTGCCCGTACGGCAACCACCACAATGGTTCCAACAACTTCTCCGTGCTCGTGCGCAAGAAGGATCTGCTCTATTACTGCAACAGCTCGGAGTGCCAAGGGGTCCGCCCTCTGCTCAAGATCGGGGAGCTCACGCGCTCAGAGGCGGTGATTGAGGCGAGACCCGGGCTTTCAGTACTGATGACGTCAGCGCGATCAACGGCCTGCACAAGACATTCGTGGACGCCTGGGCCTTCGAAGGAGACGTGGGCGGCAGCAAGATTGTCGCTGAGATGTACGCAAGCTGCAGCAGGTGAGAACTTTACGAGATACACAAGAAGTCACTGAAGCAAGACGTTTAGAGGGCCTTTCAGAACGTCGACGGCTCATGGAGAGCACACGCCAGCCCTGGAACGGATCTTCTGGTAGTGCTCTGTCAGCGGCGGTCTGATGTCATTCGAAAGGGTCCCGTCTTAGCGTGTGTCCAAGTGTCCAAAGTCTACCACCAACTTTCCGCGACCATCGATTGCTGACGTCATCGAAAATTTTCGGCCAGTCTCCGGTTGTCCGGGTGTCCAAGGTTCATTGCACACTTCTCGCGGCCGCCGGATGCTGACGTCATCATCGTGCTCTGAGGCCGTGTTGGAAACACTTTCAACCGCCAATCTGAACTGTTGGGACACGAAACTGGAAACGCAGAAATGATAGACCTTCTACGAACGCTGTCGAGACTCGTGTGAATCAAGATCTTACTTTTCTTACAAGGGCATATCGTATATCTGCTCTTCTGCAGGCTGCGTTTCGATGGAGAAAGCTGGTGGTATTGGAATGGGAGGCGCTTCGTGCGCGACGAGAAGAGCGCCTTCTATGTGAAGAACGTGCTCATCAATCAGCTCAGGACCGTCTACGCGCGGGTGAGGGACGAGTGGAAGGCATCTATCGAGAGAAACACCGACGAGAAGGAGCAAGAGGCGTTGATGGAGCAGCTCAAGCGCCTGCGCACCTACAACAACAGCCGAAAAATCACCAGTACGCTGGAACTCCTCCGCGGGGAGTTGGTCGATTTCGACTTTGCTCAGCAGCTGGATGCAGATCCGGACATCTTGAACGTAAAGAATGGAGTGCTCCTTCTGAGGACCGGCGAGCTCGATGTGCACCGGCCCCAGTACATGTGCTCCAAGATCGCGGAGACGGACTTCATGGTAAGCTGCCTATGCTGATTCAAAGAAACCCGAGCAACTTGCTTCTTTGACTAGCTAACACGCAACGAGAGCTGGCGGACCGTTCATGGAAGATGCTTTCTGTCTAATCACAAGAATCCGAGCGTTGACAGCTGCACGCGGGCTTTGCCATTGAATCCTCTAACAGCTTCCGAGTCATGTGTTTCCGTCTTGGCACTAGTGTGCATACTTTAGGATGCTTGAAGACGTGCTGTGATGCCATTTCTCTTGCGCTCAGGAAGGCAAGGAGTTGACTCGTTCCATCCATCAAGTGTGCCGATCACTTCTTGCAGGGGATGGAGTTTCCCACTCCGCGCATGGACGCCTTTATAGGCGACATCTTCAACCACGACGCTGAGCTGGTCGACTACGTACGGAAGCTGTTCGGCTACGCCCTCAATGGCCATACGCGGGAGGAGGTCTTCGTGCTCTTGCTCGGAAAGGGAGGTAAAGTCACTATCTTCTTGGTCTTGGATGCAAGACCTAGTGGAAGTGTGCAAGTAAAAATCCGGGGAGTTCCAGATGCCTCCAATCTTACATTGAGGTACGTGCTTCTCCAGCGCCGCGGGCGTCGGATCTGGCGATGTGGGAAAGAAGTCGATCAACCACTGCTCCTGCATATTGGCCTAACAATTGACATGATTCTACAAGCTGGTCTTGAGCATCAACCCACATGGACGAACCGCGGTTGCTTCTCGGTGGGGCCGGTCCAACACTCACTTATTGCCGATACCTCAACCTGATCTTGTGCATTAATCCTTCTGCAGGAAATGGAAAGGGTGCCCTGAAGGAGATGCTGCAAGCTGTGGCCGGTGATTACTACGGCACCATGTCCAAGGACGCGGTTGTTACGGCACCTGGCCAGAGGGCCCCCTCTAAGAACGCGCCTACAAACTACCTTTACGAGTTGATGGGCAAGCGGCTTGCAATCACTGACGAGACGGCGGAGGGGGAGCAAGTGGACCTCGGTCTCGTCTTGGCGGTGACGGAGGGCGGCTCAATAAAAGCGCGGTGCCTCTACATTAACAACGTCGAGTTTGTTGTTACGCACACACCGTTTGTGCAGACAAATTACCCTCCTGTGATCTCCGCGACAGCGATCTTGGACAACGTCGAGCGCCGACTGCGAGCGATCCCGTTCCCCAACACCTACGTTAGAGCAAACGCTTTTGACCCCACGAACGCAACCCACCGCCTCAGAGACGACAACTTGAAGGGACGCATGAAGGAAGAGGAGTCGCGTCGGCAGATCCTTACTTGGTTAGCGCGCGGCTCGGTGGAGTGGTACGCCAGTGCAGAGGGACTTGGTTCTCCCCCCAAGGCCGTGAAGGATGCAACGGACGAGTACCTGCGTGAAGCGGACAAATTCCAGCTGTTCATCGACCAACACTGCGAGGTCGGAGAAGGATTGTCGACACTGCAGGCCGAATTCGCGGCCTGCTATGCGCAGTATTCCACCGAGAGGATCTCGTATGAGGAGTTGAGGAGGAGGATGGATACGAAAGGATTCAAGAGGGCCAAGAACAATGATTCGCCACGGCAGTTCTACTATCCGAGGATTAGGTGCTCTTACACTACTTAATACGATTTGTTGCTTGTGCAGTTCAAGAAAGATGGTAACGACAAAGTGGCTAGCGATGCAAGCCGGACATTGGACGAGCTTCGTATTCTCTTGTTACACTAGTAGGACTCCATTTGTACATTCTCCGCAAGAGTTGTGATTGGCACTTGTTGAATTGAATCAATGTGTAATGACGATACTTGTATCGTCGAGGCTCAACAACCACGATCCCGTTCAACGATTGCCATGATGATGTTATCAACAGATGTGTCGATTGAAAGTTTCTGCTTGGCCTGATGAATGACGTCAGCGATTCATGACCATGAAAAGTTTGTGCCGGAGCTTGGACACTTGGACAGTCGTGAGCCGGAGACAGGCCCGCGCTCTGATGACGTCAGCGATGAGCGCCCGCGAAAACTTTGTGCCGGAACTTGGACACTTGGACACCGCTGATCCGAGGCATGCCCGCGCTCGGATTCGGACGTCAGCCGTGAGCGACCGGAAAAAGTTTTGCACCCGAGCTTGGACACTTGGACAGTCTCAAGCCGAGACAGGCCCGCGCACCGATGACGTCAGCGATGAGCGACCGCAAAAAGTTTTTGCGCCAGAGCTTGGACACTTGGACACCGCGAAGCCGAGACGGCCCCTGGCTCCGATGACGTCAGTGACGAGCGACCAGACCTTGGACACTTGGACAGTTTCAAGCCGAGACAGGACCGCGCTCCGATGACGTCAGCAATGAGCGACCGCGAAAAGTTTGTGCCAAAGCTTGGACACTTGGACAATTTCTGCACTCAATCGGGCACCGGCACATGCAACAGGATTGATTGCTCGCAAGCACGCATTGATGCAGGATCGATACACGGTCAATATCAATGCATGTAGCCACGGTCACAAGGTTATGTTTGCAGTGGCTCGAGCGTCTCTAGTTCGTATCTCGCGCTACGTATCGCTTGTACGCCTTGGAGTTCTTAAACCTGGGCTCAAGATTCTCCTCAATCCATCTCCTCCGGGACTCTTCTAGCTCTCGATGCGCGCGCTCTAGTTCCGTCTTATATCTTCCAAAGTCCAGAAGATATTTGCGGTACTCATTGATGAGTGCGCATTCTTCGTTCATCCATGCCTTCCACGGCATGCCGCCAGATTTTTGGGCGATGAAGCCGGGTTTAAATCGCCTGTCGTACAAAGGGCCAAAGAGCTCCGTAGCGTAGCGAGCCATCGTCTCGTCTCGGTTCAAGCCGCCAACCGTGGAGCACGCAAAATGCTCGACGAATGTTTGCAGGGTCTTTGCTCTCGCCTCCTGCTGCAAAAAGAAAAATGTTGATGCTGCGGCCAGAATGCGAGATACGGTGCCGCCTCGACTTGGCAACCAAAAACGTCGATAGATGCACGCATATTGGTGATAGTGTGCACGCCGTTGGTGAATGGAACATTGCTGACTTTTACTTGCCCCCTTGCCGTGCACGATTGCTGCTCCATTCATTGAGGATGGATGTACATAGATCGTTTTCCAGTTGTTTAGAATTTTGAGCAATGTACATCAATTACTAGAAATGTACACGAAAATCTGTCTAAAATATTGAGTGATGTACATCAATCACTAAAAATGTACACGAATCTCTGTCCAATCTGTCCAAAATATTGAGTGATGTACATTAATCCACAAAAATGTACACGATTTTCTGTCCAAAGAGGAATATTGTTGGTCCTATGGCAAAATCGGCTGACTTGATGCTAGTATCACCCTCCGTTGCTAGATATGGCTTGCGCTACGTACCTCAACCTTGTCAGGGTGGAAGTGCAGTGACCAAGTCTTATGGTGTAATACAATCTCGCCGCGATCGAACATCTCCCAAGCTTTGCTCGGAAGAAGCTCGGCATCCGCGATGAGCCACGACAGGGGCGGTCGCACATACGTTGGTGCCTTTGGCATGGGTGGAGCGGGGATCGCGTTGCGAGCCATGATGCGGTACCTCGCCATATGCCGTGTTCTAAAGACAGCGCGTTCTCCATCAAGAGTGCGTCGATACTTTGAAACCGCAGCGTTGTTGCTTTGGCGCTTCAACTGACGAAAAGCTTCGGACTCCAAGCCGCAATATTTCGAGGGCGCACGATCGCTCGGAAGCTTGTAAGGCTCGCATCCCATCCTCTCTCGGTGACCTTCCAAAGCTTGCTTCGACATGAAGCTCTTGTTGCAAATCTCGGATCCATCTTCACGGTGCCGTTCGAGGCAAATGAAGCATCTTCCGTCCCGCTTCCAAAGCAGTGACGAAGCCGTAGTCGTTGATGCTGCGGCAACATCTGGTGGACTAACGGCAGACATGATAAACTTTCAGCCGAGGATGATCGTAGAGAGGGCGCTCGACGAGCCCTAAACCGATCCAGCAGCAGTGACGATCCTAAATCGAACAAAGAGGGCGCCTTCAAATAGATGAATGCCATTGTAAATCTAGATCAAGGTCGATCTGTCTTTCGATTTCTAAAGCCGTCGCGATTCACCACGTGTCCAAGTGTCCAAGGTCTGTGATCAACTTTTCGTGGTCGTCCATCGTTGACGTCATCCGAGCGCGGGCTTGTCTCGGTTTCGCGGTGTCCAAGTGTCCAGGGTCTGTGACCAGCTTTTCGTGGTCGTCCGTCGCTGACGTCATCCGAGCGCGGGCTTGTCTCGGCTTCGCGGTGTCCAAGTGTCCAAGGTCTGTGACCAACTTTTCGTGGTCGTTCGTCGCTGACGTCATCCGAGCTTGGGCCTGTCTCGGCTTCGCGGTGTCCAAGTGTCCAAGGTCTGTGACCAACTTTTCGTGGTCGTCCGTCGCTGACGTCATCCGAGCTTGGGCCTCTTTCGGCTTCACGGTGTCCAAGTGTCCAAAGTCTAGCACAAAACTTTTCTTGGTCGCCCCTCGCGGACGTCATCAGTCTCAATTGTCATTCAGCCCCTTATCTAAGCACTTGCAAATCACCTTGAGGCTCTGCATCAGTTCGATTCTGACTGTGATTCAGAATTTGAATCGACAGATTCTGCTCTCTTTCTCGGAGCCGCCTTCTTTCCAACGCTTTTCTTTGTGGTGGTCTTGCTAGTCGTTTTTGCCCTTGAAACCTTCTTTGAAGCACTCATACTCTCGATGTCTTCGATTTCCATCTTTGTAGGTGTACTCTGAAAGGTGCCCTCAAATGGCAAACCTGTCGGGCGATTACTTTTCATCACCGGACCGATCTCAACCGAGTATCCATACTTCTTGTTTAATGAACCTCGTGTGGTTTCTTGTATAAGGACAACTACCCTCTGTGGGAGCGAAACGTTCTTCCCTTGGCACTTCTGAGTCCGAAATAGTTGCGATCCTGCTCGGGCCCCTGCTTGACAAACGCGCCCTTTCTTTGCATCGATTTCAAGTCGTGTATCCTTCAACAAAGCGAGGGCATCATTCCCCTTTGCATCGTAGGCAGCAATCACTCGAAAGCTTCGTTTCATGCATTCCATATTGGATGACCTGGTGCACTTCTGATGATAGGTTTGTAGAAAATAATAACTCCGCCCCCTAATGCATATCTGACTGTGCGGATTCAACAATCTCAGCCGCAACCAAGAACATGGAGTGCATATGGTGTAAATTGCACGCGGAGAGACAGGAAAAAAGTGTCAAATGCCTTTTGAATAACTAGTTATTCTCCTCAGAAATCTCGAGATTTCTCAACAATTTTCGGCCCCCCGCACGCAGTTTCAAGAAAATAAGCGTTTAGGAGAGGTTTCGATGTCATTTTATTGTGACCGACC